TATACACATATATTCACATACATATATATGTATATGAACATGTAATAGATGAAATAAGTTAAATAAGTTCAAACTAACCTTCCTCATCATAGTTTGACATATCGTCTGTGATCATTGTGCTGAAATCTAACAAAAGGTTCCATGTGTCTTTGGGAATGGATCGCTTATGATGCTCCTGCAATGCAAAAGCAAACAAAACATTCATCCAGGTTTACAGTGTTAAACACTATTTATACCAGTTTAGCCTGGAACACTCTACACTACTTTTGCCCAGATTTTTGCCGCAGTTCAGTCTGGACACATCAATGATTGCTGCCAAAAATCAGAGTCAGCCTGTAGATTTTGGGCAACCAGAGTTGACAGATTTCGCAGAAAATCACACAGTGTATCATGGGCACAGACTCTGATTTTTTTTAGCATCAGACTATGAATCTGTCCAGCCTGAGAATATCAGACATGTTTGGTATTTTGAGCCGATTTTGGAATACATATTGTTTTAAAATGTCATGCATCTTCTAGCTACAAAGTGCATGTTTCTGCCCGAGTCTGTTGTGTTCAGAACAACTTGAAAGTTTATTAGTGTGTGATCCTCAGCTGTCTAGTGTATGATGCACAGTGTTCTCCGTAACCATTTTTAAAGTCTGCAAGTGTCAAAATAAAACTGTTTTATAGTTTGTTTTACAGTTTGGTGATGCTAGGGGGGCATACATTTAAAAACACATTCAGGTTTAAAAGTTAAATCTATTTATAACTTACAGCCATGTACAGATATAGTTTGTTTTACAGTTTGGTGATGCTAGGGGGGCATACATTTAAAAACACATTCAGGTTTAAAAGTTAAATCTATTTATAACTTAAAGCCATGTACAGATCAATACTCACCAATAAAAATTTGTTCCATAGATCTAGAAATTTAAAACGCCCAGCCAATATTAAATTCCAGTATGCAATTGCCATTTCTAGGTCTAGAGAAAAACAAAACAAAAAAACTGAAAAAACACTAGTTAACTATACAAAAATGAAAAGTAACACACGTGAATGAACCCAACACATGCCTAAGCCCTTTTGTCCTGGATTCTTAGCAAAGTTGAATGTGAACTGATAGAAGTCTTTAAATTTCCCTTGGTCCTTCAACTCTTGCTCCATCCTGGGTAGCTGTGCTTTGAGTTTCTCTATATTGTCACATCTTGACAAAACAAAGGCAAAGATCAGCATTTCAGTGTGTAAGTCACTGGATGAGGGGCAAAGATTATTCAGAGAGCTCAGACGTGATTAAAAAAAAATTACCCTTGCTCAGCCATTCCCTCCATGAACTCTTGTTTGGAGAACTCACATTGTGTTGCTGCCCGAAACTTCCAAGCAATTAGCAGAACACTTATACTGGCTGGATCAAGTCCCAAATCATCGCAGAACTGTTGGATTCCATCTATACCAATCTTGTTATCATCTTGAGGGTCTGCAAAATTTAATACAACGCAAGACATTTTCTCAATTCTTACAGAAAATGTACACAAAGCATGGTTTACTGTGTTTGTAATAATTCTCTATTTTTTAACACACAAAACACTATTTAAAAGTAATGAAATGCTGCTCAATCCTTACCTCTGTATCGATTGTAAAGCTGTTCTAACTTTTTCCGGTCTAGTGTTCCCTTTAGATTCTGTATGTAGAGGTCGGGATTTTGGAAAAAGTTGTCTGTAGCAACATCTAGTTTCCAATCATTCTGAGACAAACAATTCAATGCCGTTTTCTCGTTTGACTGGGTAAAGATCATGAACTGGCGAACTTTATCCTTCTGAGAGGATTTCAGCTTGTTCTGTAATAG